TTAGGGTTTTAGGGTTTAGTGTTTGTTAAGTTACCGTAAATCACTTTGTTGGAGTCATGCTGTTGTTGGAATATCGACCCTGCATGAACCCGACTGCCAAAACCTCTGGGCCTTTACTGAAGATCCTCATGTGACCTTCAATGTTCCAGCCTAGTACGACCTGTCCTAAACCCTAAACCTTTGTCCCGTCATCACTGATTGAATACTTAGAGGATCGGAGGTTTGTTTGCAAGTCGTACTACAGCAAGCATACTTGAGAGCCCTTCAACAAGTATTTTAGTCCATCATACGCCTCGTTACTCAGTCTCCTTGACGCTCCAAACAGGGATTCTCCCCCAAGGGGCCTTGAAAAGGCCTCTGGGTTTATGGCGGTTTAGCTGTTAGGGTTTAGGGTCGGTGGGCTTAGGGTTTAGGGCTTACACAATACTCGGAAGTCTCGGAGCCTCCTGCACAATCACTAAAACAGCCACGCAATCTTGATATGTATTGAGATGGGCGGAGCGATATAGAGAGAAAAAGAGAGCGAGAGAGAAAAACACCTTACACCCCAAGCCTAAGCCGTTGGGTGCATACCTGTGCACGTAGGAAAATGTCCTTGTATAGGGGTTATACAGGGATTATATTCCCCTTCTACATGCAAAGAATACCAATACCCCCGTGACCCTAAACCCATGAATCCTGAACCCTTGATCCTAAACCCTGAAACCTAAATCCTAAACTCTAAATCCTCAACCGTGAAGCAAAATAGTAGTTACCCTAAACCCTAAATCTTCAACCCTAAACCCTAAATCCTCAACCCTAAACCTTAAATCCTCAACCCTACACCCTTAATCCTCAACCCTAAACCCTTAATCCTCAACCCTAAACCTATAATCCTACAGGTCGGGGCGGCCTACTTCGAAACGTCCGCAACACAGGGCACGGGTATCGAGGTGCGAGGTGTCCGTTGGTGTCCGTTGAAGGGTTTTCTGAGGCTGTTACAGGGTTGAGGGCTTAGGGTTTAGGGCTTAAAGGGAAAGGGAGACATGTGTATATATAATATATGTATATTTATGCTACAGGTTTAGGGTTTCGGGCTTACAGGGAAAGGGGAATATATGTGTATAGATATATATACATGTTTCAAAAAGGATATATGGAGATATGTTTTGGGTTTAGGGTTCAGGGCTTCTGGAATTCGAACAAGGAGATACGTGTGTATATATATAAATACACGCACATAGATTCTTGTGTCTATAGGGGAATATAGGGATATTTAGGGTTTAGGGTCAAGGTTTTAGGGCTACCATGATGAAGAAACACATGAAGAATCAACTGGGGAATGACATCGACGCCAGTGTTATGTAAGATTGTTACAGGTTTAAGGTTCAGGGTTTAGGGAACTTCAATTTAGTTGGCATAAAACGGTCCTTTTGTGAACAGCGTGGTTCTGCGATCAAATTAAGTGAACTCAAGTTCCTCAGCAGTAGCCCAGTTTTTTGGCGTAAGCATGTGGTAGTTGGGTCTAGAACAGATTCTAGGGTTTGGGATGTGGGCTTGGGGTCTAGAGCTTCCTTCGGAGTTCAAGAATGCATCGACATGCAAGGATGAGGGGGTTTAGACCCTGTAACCCCTAAATCCTACACCTTCAAAGCCCTAATCCAGGAATTATCCAGGAATCAGGGGATCAGAAACTAGGCCTTTAGGTGTTTAGGGTTTTGGCATCTGATCGGAGAATTATGCCGCGAGCAATTGTTTAGGACTAAGACGGTCCGCAGTATGTTGTCCTGAGCATTGTTGCCCGACCCCAAGCAAGACACAGACCCGCCAAGGGGTGCGGCTTCAGGCTCAGGGTTTACAAGGGTTTAGGGTTTAGGGGTTTAGGGTTTTAAACTTCGTTGCAGCCTTAGTGAGGGTACAAGGGAGAGCATCTGGAATCTAGATGGGCTGTACTCTAGAAACTTTTTGAAAGGGATTGTATGGGGGACTATTAAAGGGGTTGTTAAGGGGGATACTAGTGTCAAGCTGAAGAAGGCATAGGGCTCAGGGGCCCTGCTTGGAGGGGAAATATAGCAGGGTATATGGGGATCTTATTATAAAATACCCCAAGCCGTATTCTATCTACTTTTGCGGGACTATGACTTGTGGCTGTTTATTAAAGTGCTTGCTAAGTCCCCCTGACGCTTCAGGTGTTTTTTTGTAGTTATCATTTTCAACGGAACTACAGAAGGGCCACATCGAGATTTGTTCCAGAGTAGCTAGGATTTAGGGTTTAAGGTTTAGGGTTTTGCTTTGTGCCCCGACACCCTAAATCTTGAACCCAAAACCCCCAAACCCTCTCATGGTTTTGTGAATTTCGCAACGCAACCCCTATCAGCACTTCGTGGATACTCATGAGCCCTGTCTGATCCCTGCATTTTAGGATCCCGCAGGGCTCTTATTATTGGAGGTCTACGGTTTAGGGTTGTTTGGAGAAACTTCCATATAAGTTGCGCGTATCTAGGGTTCCTTACCTCAGGGGGTTTTGGTGATTTTTTTTTGGTGTTCGATTTGGGAAGCTTCACCTTAAACCATAAACCCTAAGCCCCATACCCTTAATCCTAAACCCTAAACCCTACACCCCCCAGCGCTTGAAATAAGAACCGTGGGTCAAGTGTCTTCTAGAGGCTGCAGCTGCTTGTGCTGCCGCATTGCACCATTGTCCACAACCTCAACGATGAGGTTGTTTTTGTAGCATCAACCCTTTAAGAAAGGTTTGGAGTAGCCTTGACCCGTTAAGTTGGGACCCTACTGGAGTCATATGATAATGACAGGGTCCTCATTGAGAGGGCGAGGTGAACAACCGTGCCGTTGCCGGGGGATCGACCCAGGACTTGAGATCTTCACAAAGCTGGCAGAAAGGAGCTTCCAGATCCCATCCTCGGAACAAGGCCACGAGATCAGTTTCACGCTCGCGCTTGTCAGTGAGACTGAGCTTGTGAAAGCCCCGAAAGTGGCTCCAAAGGTCTTTAAGCTCAATGAAGTGGTCTTGGAGCTGGAGCAGCTCGGATGCACGTTGAAGGTCCGTTGAAGGGCTACCTGCTCCCACTGCCACGCCTTCCCCAGGAGCTCAAGGATTCGGCTCACATGGTGAAGATCTTCTCAAAATAAGGGGACCCTTATTGGGGGTCCCCATAATAAGGACTATACTATTTTTTGGGGTCTGCATTAGGGTCCGCCCTATTTTGGGAAAACATCCAGTCACCTTGCTGAAGCTGTCCTCGACGCAGGCCTTCAACTTTCAGAGGAACACCCGCCGGGCACATGGCGACAGAGCGGGGCAACCGCAACTTTCAAGTGCCAGGGACGCCACCTTGTACCTACCTTTGACACGCTGCTTGTTCCCAACGGCCCAAGCATTTTACGAGTACATACTCCCGGAAGCCTACAGTTCCCCTGCTTGGGAATCATACAAGCCGAAAATGATTCCTAATATCATCCACTGAAAACCCTTAGATGACTATAGTAGTAGTTAAAATCTACCTCAAAATCCTGTTTGATTTTTTGGGGCCCGTACATTGCAGGATGCCATCCACTACGCCATGCTCTCGGCACTGGATCAAATACATGCACAGAAGCAGCAAGCAGATCAAGGCCAGAGGGCTACTTTAGGGTCTAGGGTTTAGGGTTTAGGCCTTTGAGGTTTAGGGTTTAGTGTTTGGGGTTTGGGGTTTAGGCTTTGGGTTCAGGCTACCACAGTATGCAGGGACTGCGATAGGGATCTGTGTCTTCATTCCCTATCTTTCATTCCCTACTGAGCAGCAGGTAGTATAGTCCCCCTTGAGTAGATTGACTATGGCTTTGGGTATTTCATAATAAGATCTGCATATACCCATATTCTATCGACTTAAGGGGGACTATAGATCTTATGGGCCATTGTGGGTGTGAGGGATTTCAGGCAGTATGTCCGGTTTAGGGCGCTGTCGATAGCTCAGAGCGGCAAGACATCAGGGATTGGCTTCTTCGACCTAAAGCCTAAACCCCAAAGCCTGAATTATGAGACCGGGAGTGTTCAGATTGGTTGCACTGGGAATGGAGCGTGAGGCGCCCTAAACCCTAAAACAACAGATTGTGTAGATGTACTTTTGACAGGAGGGGTTTCCGACTTAAGGATCTACTCCCCCAAATTCGCACGGAAGCGCCTTCATATATCCTACAGCCTCAACCCGACCCTAAACTTGCCCTAAACACCTTAAACTCTAAACCCTACACCCCCCCTTTCACAAGGGCTGAAGTCTGTGAATGCTGCAGCAGCTGTAGCTCCATGGGTGGCAAGTGGGGCACTTAAGACAGCTTTAGGGTTTTGGGTGTTTAGGGGGTTTTAGGTTTTGGGAGTTTAGGTTTTTGGGCTTTATAAAGGGCATTTAGGGCTTAGGATTTCGGGCCAGTTTAGAGTTCAGGGTTTCATATCTTTGGGCTGTTGCCGAGTCATGCGATGGGAACAGAAACGACGACAGGCCACAAGGATGGAGTTTCTCGAACAAGTGTTTTGTCTTAGGAGGACCCCCCCCCCCCACCCTATAATAGTGGTATAATAGGAATATGACAGGAACCTAACACAATTGCCATTGTCCGTTATAGTCATTACTACTGGGTGGGGGCCACCTAAGGTTTGTCTTTATTTATGGGGTATCGCTTACCCTACAACCTGAACACCACACCCTAAAGCCCTAAGCCCTGAACCCTTCTGTTCTGTCTGGCGGTCTTCTGGGGGGAGTATGTAAGGATGAGATGACTGCCGACAGATTGTGCGGTAGAATCCACCTCAAAGAGCCTTCCGAGTATCCAACAGAGAGAATTGGGGACACTATCAGGGCTGTTCAGCCAGTCTTTCAAGCCTCCAATCCTAAACCCTGAACTCTGAATCCCCGAAACCCTAAACCCTAAACGCCTAAACCCTATAAACCCTAAACCGTGCTCTCAAACCCTAAACCCCTAAACCCCATAAACACCTAAACCAGTTATCCAAGCTCTCCTTAGTCGTGAGAAGGCCTTCTGTCATTAAGGATCCGGGTAATCTTGGTTGATATTGGTTTCTATGGGGTTGCATTGGGATAATGGAAAAGAAAATGGAAACTACAATACTGGGGTATATAGCTTCACCCTGAAGCCTGGCCCTGCTCAGATCGGTAGCCCTAGATTGCTTTCCACAAGCCCCGATTCCCAAAATTTGGGGTACATTTCTGCGGGGTGCCCATAATGAGGATCGTATTTTGGGGTGTATATTGCGCGTCGAAGGTTTCTAAGCTCTACAACCCTTACCTCTTGAATCCAAAGCTCTTCAAATCCTAAGGCCTTAAAATAATAAGCCCTTATCACCCTAAACCCCTCGACCCCGAAACCCGACAAAAAAACAAACAACAAACCCACAAAACCCTAAAACCCCCACAGGCCCAAAACCCCCAAACCCTAAACCCCACAACCCCAAAACCCTAAACTTCACAACCCCAAAACCCCAAAACCCTAAACCCTTAACCCTATCCCCTCCGAACCGGAGCCACTCCATGGTTTCAGGGCCTTCCGACCCTCCTACGCTGGCTGGACGAATGGCTCACGCTGTACAGTTCTGCAGCCTCCTGTGAGAAAAAGCCGGGTTGCCGTCAAGGAACCTAATTTAAGTTACCACATTATCGTTGTATCTGGTAATGTATATGGCTTCTCCAAAATGAAGGAATGGAAAAGACAAGGGACACTACTATAATGGGGTTATGTACGGTTCAGGGTTTAGAAGGAATGGAAAAGAAAATGGAAACTACTGTAATTGGTTTCATATGGTTACTGTAAGGATCCATTCCTTCATTCCTAGCTAAGCAACGGTGAGAGAAAGGCAGCGTGGCCTCGGCGGTTCGGCCTTAGGCTGCCAAGGGTTTGGAGTTTGGAGTTTAGGGTTTACTTACTTAGCCAATAGAAGAACTTAAAACCTTTTGGGCTTCCTTATTTGATCTCTATAACAAAGTTTGAACTTTTTGGGCCTGGTCACTGCGGAAGAGAGTTTAGGGTTGGAGCCAACATTGTTAAATCAAACGGGAGTGACTGAACGGATTTTAGGGGAACCATGGAAACGATCCATATAGTAGTCCCTGAGTAGGCCCTTCTACTGGACTCTATAATCCAGTCCCGCATTCCCTACTAAGCATCAGAAATGCCTTGAACCTGAACCCTAAAGCCTAAACCTTAAACTCTAGACCCTAAACCATGTATGTATATATGTCTATCTACATAGGTTGAGGGTTTCTTAATATAGGGAGCCTGAGTGCTTAGCTGGTTGCTGTTGAGGAACTTAAACTAAGTTACCATAATGGGTATATGCGTATATATACATATATGTATAGTGGTTTCTATGCTTTCCCCCATATGGTAACTCAAATTCAGTTCCTTAAAAGCAACCCAGTGGAGTTTATGAGGTTGGGGGGCCGGGTCCATGAGTTTGTGGGTTTGGGGTTTATGTGGTTAATGCTTTCGGATTTCTCAGGTTTAGGGTTTCGGTTTATTTGGTGTAGAGGCTTTTAAGATTTCGGTTTTGCACGCCCTGAATCCTAAACCCTAAACCATACGTTTGCGGGTTAACTACGGGTTGGCATTTTTGTAGTAGGACCGCGGAAGAAGACTCCAATGGTTTTCTAAGACAGCAGATTACCCGTCTTTATCAAATTACGGCCTCACTAGGCACAGTTGACTCTGAGGCCCGAACCTTGAACCCTAAACCCTAAGCACTAAACCCTATAGTCCCCCTCAAGTAGATAGAATATGGTTTTGGGTATATTATAGTAAGATCCCCATATACCCCATGTTCTATCTACTTGAGGGGGACTATAACCCACCGTCATGCTTTTCATGTGAGTAAGCCGTCTCAACCAGAAGCCCCCGGCTCAAACCCGAAGAGCTTACGATCTGCGAGCCCTTTTCCTAATTCCGTGGGTATTAGAGTTTAGGGTATTAGGGTGTAGAGTATTTGGGTTCAGGGTTTGGTATTTCTCATAAAGCTGTACGTAAGTACGGCCCAGATTTTCCCTTTCAAACCCAAGTCTGAAACGTTCAGGGTAAGCCCTATAAACTCTGAACCCTCACCTAACCCTTAAACCTCAACAGTTTGGGTGGCTCTTAAGTAAACCCCCAATATTTGGCAACCCTTATTGCCAGAACTCCCAAAAGGAGCCTTTGACTTTTTAGGGCAACACTCACCCCCCCCCCTCCCCCCCCAAAAAAATCCTACAGCTCAACCCCGACCCTAAACCTGCCCAAACCGTACACCTGAGACACCTGCAGTGGATACGAATAATCCTGCATGACCTTCAGTACCTTACATGAACTATGGGGTCCAGTATGCTAAGGTCATGCAGGGCTTTAAAGTCGCAACAGTAAAATCAGTGGAAGTATTTTATACGTTCGGAGTTGCGGGGGTGCAGTATACTAAGGTCCTGCAGGCCCTAAACCCTGAACCCTGAACGTGAACCCTAAATTGTTGTAGTAACAGTAAAAGAGCTCATGTCAAGCCCTAAACCATGAAGCCCCCATACCGCACACTCTAGATCCAGAAACCTTGAATCTGAAGCTCCCAAACCAGAGGCCCTCGTACCGAAACCGTTGAGCCCTAATCCCCATCCCAAAAATCTAGATCCTAAACCGTTAGCCCCTAAACTCTAAACCCCTTCTCGAAGCCTTGAAGTCCCAAACCCAAACCCCAAGGCCAAAGACCCTACGCCCTCTGCGGCTGAGGCGGCAACGACTGGAAGAGCTTCTGGAGGCCCCTCCAAAGGGTGTAGGGTGCAGGGTTCAGGGTTTAGGTTGTAGGGTTCAGGGTTTAGGTTTTAGGGTTTAGGTTTTAGGCTGTAGGGTGTAGGGTCTGTTTGCAAGCCCAAGCAGCCAGGAATTAATAGTCGACGTCCTAACAGCCAATCCCAATGTAGCGAAGCTAATGTACAAAGATTGGGTTGTTGTAGGACTACCGGGATTATCTCTTTTTAGTTGCTTGGGTTTCCGGTTCAGGTGGGGGGCCAGAGGCCCTTCTACATCTATCCTATGACATGAAAGGACTTTAGGTTCAAAAACCGAGGTTCTGCAAATCTTCCAAATCTCTCAAAGAAAGAGTCCCTCCGAAATCTCTGTAAACATGTAAAAATGTTTGACAGTCGTAGAATCGGCATCCCGTGAACATAAACCCCATGTTCCCAGTTCCCTCTGAACCCTCAACCCTGTATATAATCCCACGGATTTCTCTAAGGCAGGGGGCCTAGATCCAGGACCAAGAACCCCAGAACCCGAATCTCCCTCTAAACTTTAAACCTTAAACCCTAAACCCTAAAGCCCAAAACCGAAAGCCCAAACCCTAAAGCCCAAACCCCTCAAAACCCCTAAACCCTAAAACCCTCACCCCCTTAATCCGACTCTCTGGAGGCTACGCGGCTGGAGGGCTCCCTTCCAACGTAGCCTCGCAAATTCAGGCCTTGCTCGGTCAGGCCCATCCTCCCCATCCTCCGGATGGGTTTAGGGCTTTTAGGAACGTAGGGCTTTTAGGGTTTGTAGGAATTCAGGGCTTTAGGGTCTTTGGGGTTTGTAGGCATTAGGATATTTAGGAATTTTAGGCTTAGGGGTTTAGGGGGTGAAGGGCTTAGGCGTTTAGGATTTAGGGCTAAGCGTATAGGACTAAGGGATGAGGGTTTAAGGTTTAGGGCATTGGGTTCGTGGTTCAGGGTTCACCCCAGACATTGTTAAGATACTACTATTATCAAAGCCGCGGTTATTCCACTGCGGTTATTCCTTGTACTTAATCTGTTGACCTATAATTCGGACTTCTTCTAGACATGGTATCTATTCTTGTCATTATTGCCTTAGAGCTTAGATCCGGCAACCTGCCTCCTGGTAGAATCAATGAAAGAAGCGGATCAGAGTGTGATTCTGGGGATGGTTGCTGGGAATTATTTGGATTATCGGGATTATTTTAGACAAGCTGTTCAGGGTTTAGGGTTTAGGGCTTAGGGTTTAGGGTTTGGGGTTTTGGGTTAGAACGCCACGTGTAACCCAACTATGAGCTCTGTTAGTCTTCTAATGTGGTTATAATTGGGCGATTGGCAAGGGCTATAGAATCCTAAGCGCTAAACCATAGCAGTGTACCTCCAAGTACCTCCCTAAACCTCAAACTCAAAGCTCTAGATCCTGATCACCAAGCTTAAAGACAGGCGTGTTGAGTAAGCCATGTTTAATTTTTTTGGCGGGAGGTCCGAAGCATTTTTTTAGATATGCTATAGTCAAAAAACGGGGGACCGTGTTTGTCCTAAGTTACCAGGGATCCGGGATCCTAGAACTTGAGCCCTAAACCCTGAATCCTGAACCCTAAACCCCAAACCCCAGAAGCCTAAGCTCTGGGGTGTACCCCCAGACAAAGCTCCAAAAAGGCTCGTGAGGTTTCCTCGGTTGAGGGCTCACAGAGTTTACAGGGCAGACTGGGAACAGCGATTTATATTATAGAGTTCAGGTATTCTGGGAAATATGGGGGTTCCCTAAAACTAGGGGTGCCATTTCGGGGGTCCCCATAATAAGGACTAAAGTATTTTGGGGTCTATATTGGGGTCCCCCCATTTTGGGAAACTACCATATAGGCTGAGCCCTAAACCCCACACCCCAAAGAGAAAAACGGCTTGATAGTGTTCGGGTGTAGGGTTAGGGGAGAGATTCAGGTCTTGGATAGGGGGTGGACAAGACTCCGAAACTCCAAGGCCCAAGCCCTGAATCGCAAGCTTTAAAATCCAAACCCTGATAACCCCAAACCCTAAACCGCAATGTCGTCGGTCGCCCTATTAATCAAGGGGGAACATAGAAGGGGAAGCCTAGGGGAGTAGTAGAGGAGAAAATGATAATGCCTATATCCTAACTCCAATCCAAGCCGAAATCTAAAACCTCAGGCCTTGAGCATGCAAAATAACTTACTGGTGCTAAGTAGGGTAAAAGGGGATATAATGCATAGGCATTATGAAGGGATTCTGTTCCCTTATTCCCTACTCTACTGACCCCTAGTAAAATGTAATTATGACAGGACCGAGTGCAAGCAGGTCCCTACGCCAGCAGCTGCTTCAGCACCAGCTTTGCTGGTGCCAGCGCTGCCAACAGAGCCTCCAAGGTGTGTCGAGTTTGGGTTTCGGGTGTAAACGGGCCAAATCAGATGGAAAAGTAAGGGAACATGAAATGTAAGTTGGAGTTCTACAGAGGCTTACAGGGATTCTACTGTAGGTTTCAAAGACTTGGGGGTTTAGCGTGTAGGGCTTCGGGATTTACAGCTCTAGGGATGTTCGCTCGGGTCTTGAGAGCTATGAACCCCAAAAGTATGTAGAAGAATTGCTTGTCAGGCTCTTTCTAAGTGTTGTGGACCATGATTTCACCTACATTGGAGGGGTTTGGGGGGCTGCTATCAGGGACCTGAGAGCTTCCCGTTGCAAACGATTCTAATCCCCATAAGCCCCTTTACAATCCCCATGTGGGCTATAGTCTAAACTCCTTAAAGAGGGCTATGTAGGGGATTATGTAGGGGATTACTATAGTGATTGGTAAGGGGGATACAAGGAGTTTAGACTACAGCTCATATAATCCC